TATATATTTATAATTTAATATTTAATATAATAATTTAAATATAATAAAAATAATAATATAATTAATATTAATATTAATATGTATAATAAATATTTATCGTAAAATAACAAAAAATAAAAAGTATTATACACGCAAGAAACTTTTAAAATGACCCAACATTTCGATAATGAGAGAAAATTTGTCAGCATGGTCATTCATTACGTTAATTTTAAAATAATTAATCGATTAGTATTTGCCAATGCAATTACTTACTAATTAAATAACAATAAAACGGGACTATAATTTTCAATTGAAACATATAAAACACAAAAATACGTGTGGAATTAAACTTTGACCTTACACGATTCACTAATTATTTTCTCATTTTAAATCTATCACCCAACCACAAATACTGAATAAAATATTCGTTTAAAATAATACAAAAGAAAAACAAAATAATTTTCATGATATTTAATCTGGTGTAAGCCAATATTCATTAATTTCATATAAAAAAAAAACAAAAAACAAAAACAAAAAACTAGAAATATCAAAAGATTACCTTTAACGTAAATAAATTTACGCGTTTGAAAAAAATTCCTCGTATATCTTTTCCTCGAATAATCTCGTTTTATTATTCACCAATTGTTTCGAACGTGTTTAATCACTTATAAGCTTTTCCCTTCGATGTATTTGAAATGCTTCTTCTCCTCTTCGATCGACAACGACAAATCAGATTTTCAAAGTGTCAAGAGAGAGAATGAAAATAAGCTTTAATGTAAACGAGATAATCGAAACAGGTGCACGTTCGGAACGACGCTCACGAGTCGACTGAAAACGACGAGTAGATATCGAAAGTTTAATCTTCGAAGATACTCTCTACCTTCTTCTCTACCCCCTCCTCCCACCCCCTCCTTTCCACCTTATATTCCTTCCCTTTCTCTCTTTATTTTCCTTCCTCGTCGTCTTACTATCCGTCTGTGTCTCGTTTCGCAAAGACTTGCTTGCTTGGTTGCTTGGTAAGAACTGGAAGAGTTAGTTTGTTAGAAAGAGAGAAAAACAGAGAGTGAAATAGAAAGAGGAAATAAGATAAAAATAGAAATAGGAAAAAGAAAGGAAAGGACAGATAAATGGGAGTAGTAACCATTTCCTTTTTCCTCCAACTCTCCTCTTCTCTTATCTCCAACGAATACTCTCATTGTGATCTTATTGTTAGTCTTTATCCGTGACACGAAGCTAAGAAAGAGAATGAGATAGAGTGAGAGAAAGGGGCGGATTAATCTGAAACAAGAGATGATCGTCTCTCATAGAATAGGTCTTGATCGTGAGAAGACTACACTTTAGCAAAGCTAGCTAGCTAGCTAGATAGGTACCTTCTAGCTTCTTTCCTTTTTGGCATAGACTTTACTCGATTCTCTTGGGAAATAAAAGAATACATGTTTTATGTTCTTAATGTACTAGCTGAAAACCCCTGCATTTTCATTTATTAACTTTAGTTCTCGCACAATTAATGAAAATTCTAACAGTTAAATAATTGCTAAATATATATATATATATATATATATGTATAGGGTATACTGATTTATGGTTTTTATATTTTTAATATATATGTACATATATTGCATGTGTTTATATAAACATATATGTGTAATATATATTTTTATTATATATATTTTATATACTATACAGGGTGGGTCACCACATTTTACCATCTAGATTTACGTTATTATAATTACGCGTAGCAGACAATGTTTCACATGGAGTTGAATGGCTTTAAAAGGGGTTCATACTGATGGTACTTATTTTTTTGTAGGTGGACGTGTAAAGGACATATGAAGGTCATTAATGTTTTTTGTAAACGGAATCATTTATTTATAATACTATATAATTTATATTATTATTTAATTTATTATTTATTATTTTTTTATGTATTATTTATGAAATTTATTATTAAAATTATTATATCAGTTATATTATATAGTATTATAAATAGTAACTTAATTGTAAAATAAATGAATTATATTATATTTAGTATTATAAATATTTATAAGTATTTTAATATAAATTTTATAGTAATTTAATATTTTAATATAAATTATATATAGGATTTTAATTATAAAGTACTTATAATACTATATAAATAAAGTAATTAAATAGTTATTACTTATAACTAATAAGTATATAATTAATATTTGTAAAGTTTAAAGTATATAATAGTATATAAGTATATAATATATATATTTAGAGTTTAAAGTATACAATATATAATAGTTATAATATATATATTACTAATTAAATATTATTTACAATAGTATAT